TGGGGCAAGGTCATTGCGTGTACCATGGGGACTGGAAGACTGGTGGCCGTCACCATGGCAGTGGGGGAGCCAGACACTGTTGGAGAGCTGTATCTGTGTTCAGCACTTGCAGTCGTTTTGTAACTACTCAAGCAGCATGAGAGGCAATGGATAAAGAAGCATGGTCCCTGTCCCAACAGTGTTCATTGGCAGTCTCGTGACTTTTCCTTCATTTCCCAACCTCTCAGGAGAACCTCCACGCTCACAGAGGTCTGCTTATATCCTGCTGTGCCAGTATTGGAGGTGAACTTGACTGTGAGGCCTGCTGGACAGCCGTCTTCCGTCAGGGACCCTCTGATCACGACAGTTGGGTGGTATCTGCTGCTTCACTCTTCTTTGTTACTAGTGTCATTGAACTTGCCCTGTGCCCTGGGTGAAGGCTACAGAAACTGCTTCCAAACCATTTCCCCTCTTCCCCATCTAGCTGCCCCCCTCTGACATTTACTGACTCTCTCTGACGGCTACTCTATTTGAATTAATGTTCTCGTTGTTATTCAGGACCGGATAAAGAGCTGTATTTTGAAATCATGTACTGCCTTGTGGATAATAAATTATCAAGATCCAAAAATAGCCATTAAGTGGGGAACTGGGCTGATTTGAAAGTTGTGTGATGCACAACAGTGGAACTGCAAGTCATTATTTAAATTGTAGCCAACTTCCTTGCTTTTCTCTGAGTGAATTTTACATCTGCCTTGCAGCTTTAGAAATCAGAAATCAACGTGTCTGAGAGCAAAATGCAGTCAGAATTAGGTTCCTCCTCAGAGGTGGACGTTCCCGGGCCACAGGCCAGAGGATGTAGGCTACGGGCCTCTGACAGGCTGGGCGGGGGGCAGTTGGAGTGGAATGCACGGGAACCACAGATGGTCACTACTCGTGGCTTTAAGGCTATTTGTCCGTTTCCACTGAAAAATAACATTCTTGTTGGTGGAGGATCTTTTTCTAAATTGTGGCACAAATATATATAACAAAACATTTGCCATTTTGGTATTTTTGTGTGTATAACTCAGTGGCATTAACTATGTTCGCCGTGTTGTGTGGCTATTACTGCTATGTGTTTCCAGATTTCTCTATCACCCTTGCCAGAAGCTGAGTGCCACTGAGGCAGTAGCCCTTCCCCCCAAGATCCACCCCCCTGCGCACACGCACACTCAGGTTTGTCTTTGTTGTTGTTGTTGAACAGAGTGGTTGCTGTTTGTCTGTTTGGTGACTTTTCTGAACCAGTTCTGTAGTCTGTATTCTTTGTTGTGTGTGGTCCCTGAAGTCTCACTTAGCTTGCTGTTCAGCTAAGGATCACCCAAAGATTTCCTTGAACACCCAGAATCACTGAGTCTCTCTGTCTTCACCGAGGGGCTCTGTGTGGGTTTGGGAAGCGCCTTTAGCGTTTGGCTGGCACTTGATCTTAACCTCACTGAGGCTTCTCCACTTGCTGCTTTTGTGGAGCCGTGAGGTCCAGCAGAGGTGCAAGCGTGGGGCCCTCAGTTCTTCCCTGAGGCTCTGCACAGCCCTGCAAGTGCACATGTGCACGGTCAGGGAGGGGCGACCTTCTAGACACCCAGGAATATGTCACCGCCTCTTTGAGCACGTGCACGGTCAGGGAGGGGTGACCTTCTAGACGCCCACCCTGCAAGTTCACATGTGCACGGTCAGGGAGGGGTGAACTTCTAGACACCCAGGACTATGTCACAGCCTCTTTGAGCACGTGCATAGTCTGGGAGAGGTGACCTTCTAGGCGCCCGCCCCGCAAGTGCACATGTGCGTGGTCAGGGAGGGGCGACCTTCTAGACACCCAGGAATATGTCACCGCCTCTTTGAGCACATGCACAGTCAGGGAGGGGCAACCTTCTAGGCGCCCGCCCCGTGAGTGCACATGTGCACGGTCAGGGAGGGGCGACCTTCTAGACGCCCAGGAATATGTCACAGCCTCTTTGAGCACGCCACTTTTTTGTTTCAAGCTTTTAGATTAATCTGTTGCTTGCACCTTAGTTGCGAGGATGGCAAGGCCTTGTGTCACTTACCCTGGACACGTTCTTCGGAGGGACCAGTCCCTGGAGAAAGACGTCATGGTTGGTAAGGTAGAGACCCTCAATGAGATGGAGGGACTGATACGGTGGCTGTAACAGGATTGAGAGCATGGCACGGAACTGGTTTCATTCCATTGTCCCTGCTCAAAGGAACCTGACAAGAACAACAATGGTTTGCCCCAGCTGTTATCCACTGCCTCAGGTGACCCTGAAGTCAGACAGGAAGTTAATTACCTGCAATTACTTCCATAAATGCCCCCAGGCAAAAGGCCCCAGTCGGGTCAAATTCTAACAGCCTTTCACGTCTGGTCTCCCAGGCAGACCGGGCCTTCATCAGTCAGGTCAGATAAAGCCAGTGCACTGGGAGCCAGCCTGTGAAAGAGCCCGAGCCCGAGCCCGAGCCTTGTCCTCTGGTGGCTGCCAGCCTCCTGGTTTTCAGGGAGGAGACGGGCTGCCCAGTTTTCAAGCTGTTGCTGGAGCTGGAGAGTAGGGGATGGCGCAGCAAAACACACAGATGCTGAGGTGGGTGCACGCCCTGGAGAGAACAATCACTGAGAAGCAAGGGCTGCCTATGCACAGGGAGACAGCTCAGGGCGCAGGAGTGCATGGAGGGATGGACATGGGGAAGAGGTAACTATGGGGAGGAAGTGGGAGGGGAGCTGTTGCATTGTGGGAAACTGTGGTCAATGACATGAGACAAAGTATATGTGAACTGCTGTATGGAAAGTGAATTTGCTCTGAAAATCTCCACCCAAATCACAATAAAAAAAAAAAAAAAGAAACAAACAAACAGATGCACTCTGTCGAGTCGGCCCCGACTGACAGCAACCCCTCCTTGGGTTTCCGAGGCGGTATCTCTACGGAAGTACATTGCCCAACCTTCCTTCTGAGGAGTGGCTGGTGGGTTTGAACTGCCAGCCTTCTGGTTAGCAGTCAGGTGCCTTAGGTACTACACGTGGGTCAAGCTCCGGTGCCAGAAAGCTCTCTGCTCTGACCAAGATTGACTCATTTGCCTTGGATGGATACTCCCCAGGTTGCTAACAAGCCTTTGGTTAATGTTGAGTTCTGAAAAAGTTGATACTGACCTTTGCGTTTTTTGGCCAGCTTTCTCATTGTTTTTATGGTGGAAAGAACTTTTGGATGTCCTCACTTTACCATTTTCAGTAACGGCCCTCTAATATGCAACATGAGTGAAACCTGATCCCCATAAAGGACTGTAAATGCATGTCCAAGGCATAAAGCCTAGAGCTTGCGCCAGGCTGCTCACAGACACTGGGAAAAATGGGCGCAGATACCTCAGCCACCGCAGAAAGCTGAAGGAGGAAACCCAGGTGCCAAGATATTTGTGAGAAAAGCATGAGGTGGGGCCAGTTATGACTTGTTGCTATGAAAAGTAGCCACGTCCCCTTGAAACGCACTTTGGGAAAAGCGTCCCAGTGAAGGCCGAACCTCTGTCACTACTGTTATTGTCGGGTGTCTTCCAGTCGGTTCCCACTGATGGACACCCCGTGTGCAGCGAAACACTGCCTGGATTTCCCTGTCACTACTGCAATTCTATAATCACCTTGAAGGTTGTGAGTTTCTAGTGGGACAGACGGGTGTTGAGTCTTTTCTTTTAGTGCCTAGCGTGGTGCCTGGGTTCACTTGTATTAGTTGAAACTCCGTCAATTGCAGGTGATAGAAAACCGAATCTAAACTGTCTCAAGCAAAGGAGTTTATTTTATGGATAAATTGCCAAAGACAGCAGGCTTCAGGTACCCTGCATTCAGGAACCCTGGCACCTTTTCCAGGAATCAGTCTTTCTTCTACTCTAGCCTCTGGTTTATCCGGCCTTAAAGCAAGTCCATCTTTGTGGACAAGGGGGTGGACCACCATGACTGGCCAGGCGGGCCCCTGCTCATCTGTGAGCCTGATTCGCTGACCTGGGGCAGCACCACCTAGGCCACATTCACTGGCAGCAGGAGTGGGTTGGCACCCACAGGAAGAACGAACTGATGTTGTTACACAGGGGTGACGGGAAGAGATGGGTGTGTGGAGGCAAGATGAAGCCCTGCCCGTATTCATCTTAACACTCATCACTAAGTTGTTGTTGGTGTTGTTATTTGCCGTCGAGTCGGCCCCGACTCATAGCGACCCCTCCTTGGGTTTCCGAGGCAGTATCACTACGGAAGTAGATTGCCCAACCTTCCTTCCGAGGAGTGGCTGGTGGGTTTGAACCGCCAGCCTTCTGGTTAGCAGTCAAGTGCATTAGCCACTATGCTACCAGAGCTCCCGCATCACTGAGTAGAGTTTCTTTCTTTTTTTTTTTAATTGTGATTCAGGTGAAGGTTTACAGAGCAAATTCACTTTCCATACAGCAGTTCACATACACTTCGTCTCATGACATTGACCACAGTTTCCCACAATGCAACAGCTCCCCTCCCACTTCCTCCCATGGTTACCTCTTCCCTGTGTCCATCCCTCCATGCCCTCCTGCCCCCTGAGCTGTCTCCCTGTGCATAAGCAGCCCTCTTTCTCCCATGATTGTTCTCTCCAAGGAGTGCATCTACCTGAGGTACATGTTCATGAGTAGAGTTTGTTGTGGAACCGTGACACCAGGCTCTGTTCTTTGTGCCCGCTGGGGTCAGTCCCTTGTCTACAGCGTTGTCCCACTGTTGGTGAGCTCCCCGCATCTCAGCTCCCGCAGTGCTTCCTGTCCTTGCCATACACCTTCAATTAAGGGGTGATGGAGATGGGAAGAGGCAAGGCCGACCTTGCACTGGGGCGGGGAAGGGCCCAGCTTCCGGCTTGCTCTTCCTAGTCTGGCCAGCCAGCCGGCAGATTTTCTGTCCTGTGTGCAGACCAAAGTTGGAGAACAGGAGCTGAGGGGGCGGGTGAGTGGTCCGTACCCTCCCCGCACTGGGTGGCACCTTCACTAATGCACCTCTCCCCTTTGTCCAGGAGGCCGAGGTTTTGAACACGGCCATTCTCACCGGAAACGCAGTGTCTGTTCCTGTCAGAGTCGTGGGCGTTGAAGAAGATGGCTCCGTGGTGGACGTGTCGGACTCTGTGGAATGCAAGTCGGCTGATGAAGACGTCATCAAGGTATAAGGGCGCTTCCTCTCTCTCTTTCCCTCACTCCAGCCCTCACAGGACAGTGTAATCCTGACTTCAGCCAGCCACAGAGCACCTTCTCAATGTTTTCCAGTTCCCTGTGTGACATATTATGGCTCAGAATATTTCCTTTAAATACCTCCCTTTTTTAAACTTGAAACCGTATTTAGCCTCGTTATAAGACAAAAAGGATCCCTGGTGGTGCTGCTAACTGGAAGGTCAGTGGTTTGACGCCACCAGCTACTCCTCAGGGGAAATATGAGACAGTCTGCTTCTGTAAAGATGACAGCCTTGGAGACCCTATGGGGCAGTTCTCTGTCCTGTAGGGGTCTGGGAGTCGGAATGGTTTTGGTTATAGGACAAAGATGCCACTCGCTTCAGGTACTAAGCTTTTTCTTAGCATACCTTAAAATAACAAAGACAACGTTCTTCCCTATGCTGTCCAACCTAACTGGACAGTCACCCGCAGTTTGTGACACTCAGGCACCAGGTGCCTCTGCTGGCTGCTGCTTCTGATGAGCTGGCTTTGTGAGTCCACATCAGCCAGGGACCAGCCCATGGTTCCCTCACGTTCTCTGCAGGCGTCTGGGAGCCACCAGAGTCAGTGTTTGTTTTTGGTTCACACACTGGTTGCCTATTTCCTTTTGTGGCAGTGACTTGGGGGAGAAAGGATTTAAATTTCCCAAACCACATTCCTCCTTGAAGTTGCTAAGAGAGCCCCAGGTCCAACCTACTGGTTCATTTTAGGAAAAAGCACAATCCTGTGGAGTTGTGCCCTTCCTGGCATTCCGCGGGCTCCTGTGGAGAGGTTACGGGTGAAGAACATCGTGGTAGACAGCCCAGCCTTTAGGGTTTTCTGTGGGCGAAAAGATCTGGGAGGGTTGACTTCTTCTTTCTGTGGCAGACAGGAGGGGTTGCCAGAAACGCTTTTGATGAAGAAGACATGATGTGTCTGGGAGGCCTAATTGAAAGGTACTTAATCTTTAGCAAACCCAGGTTCGGCACAGCC